AATTTTCTTGGAATTTTCTAATCAACATGCTAGTTTCCATAATTATTTTAAGCAAATAATGCACATTGACTTGAAAAATGTGATCCTCTATTTAGGGACCTCCTCTGACTTTGGAAAAATCAGGGAATGTTCTTCTTGACAGAGGCTACAATATGCCAAAAATTCAAGCTATGATGATAAGTCTACATGCATGGAGAATCAAAAGATTCAAATCAGTATTTAATTAATTAAAAATAAAATATGCATCACATGGACTTAAAATTATTTCCACATTATTCTCCTCCGTTCACTGAGCAAGAGAGTATTTTTATTTTATTTTGTGATTTTTCTACACAAGCTTATGGATTTTTGAAGTTAAGGGAGTATAAATAAATAGAAAAAACCCTATTTTTGTACTTATCCACGCGGCACCCCGTCAACCTACAGCGGCTCTGAAGCTCCAGCGGCGCGCTCCCATTTGACGCCTTGGTCCACGCTAACAGCCACGCGTCCCACTGTTCGTGTAAAGAAGCACTGTCCGGCTTCATCTTGGTCATCCATTCAATACACGCTTGATCAAACGACTCCCCGTCATCGTCCCTGATAGAATGATCACGTGGCCGTCCACACTAAAACCCTAAGATCTCAGCCTAGACTCAACCAAATCGCTTCGTGTTTGATCCTATGGACTCGTATAAGTGAGGCGAACACATCCATATGGTAATCATGCAATTAAATTAGTTTGATCCCTTTGCTCTGAGAAGTGAAGCTTCAATCAGAGGGTCTTGGCACGTTCGTTACGGTTCAAGGAGGCTAGAGATTAAGCCTCTTGATGTGGTGCAAGGCCTAGGTATGAATTCGATCACAGCCGGATTTGGGTGTTGGCCTAGAGCTATGGTAGAGGCTCTGTGGAAGGGGGATTTTATGGGGCTTTGGCTTCTTTCACTATTGTGAAGGTGTGAGTTGAGTTAATTTAAGTTTGGTGGAGTGTGGAAGTATAATGAGCTTTGTTCTGGTTTCCGGCAAGGTTTTGAGCTCAAAATTGAACGCCGGCAGTGGAAATTGGTGGGGGGAAATAGTTGGAATGCACTGAGGGGATCTTAGGGAAGCTCTGTGAGAAGTTTGGAGAGGCCTCTCT